AATTGTGCAAACATATTCGAGATTGGAGTTGACGAAATCAAAAATTATCTTAGGATGGGGTAAAATATTCTTTTTAACCTTATTTATTTAGATTGTATTCTAAATGTAAGCTAGTTTTCTTCGTGAACCACAAATCGGTACATTTGGTGAAAGCACGAGTACCTTTGGGAACAAAATATTCAAATATTTATAAATAATAATAATATTATTAAAATGTAAGACCCTTAATATTAATTAATATTACCATTATAATCTGTCCTAATAAACTTGGTTAGCTTTTTGGATAACTTTTTTTTTAATTTGCTTGGGCGAAGTTGAAACGGCAGCAAGAACCAGGTGAAGATGACACAGTATTAACCCTTTCAAAAGTTATCTCCAAAGTCCGATGAGAATTATTCTCCAGAAGAACAAGAGGAGCGCACTGAGTCACAGACAGCTTTAAAAAATTGTCAATATATACTAAATCAAACTTTTTATTAAGATTATTCAGTACTAGATTAGTCTGGTTAAGGCAAGGCATAGCTCGGAAACTTTCCCTAAAAACTCGGAAAAACATGGTCAAGTACAAATTGGGATGATGTTGTCATCAAGGATATTTTATATCATATAAGGAGGACTTTAATTAATTTTTAAAAAAGAGAATGCATGCGTATTCCTTTTTAAGTCCGTCCCATTTTCCTTCGCTAAAGTTTTGAGAGTATGAATTGAATTTTCAGTGTAGCTGAACCACTCGGTTACATTAGAGTCCGTATATCCTCGTAATGTAGTGCTCTCCGTATTTTTGTAATCGAACACAAATCCTCATACATTTATAACGATCTGTTTAAAGCGACCTTATTTGCAAGTATTCCGCATTGAGCACGAAAAAGTGAACACTTTTCGGTCCACATTTACTTAGCACGCGTAAGGAGTTATTTTTCAAAGAACGCCTTTTCGGCAAAGTTATAATGCAAACCAAATATCTGCTCTCTTGTGAGTCATATTATATACAATAGTATATTACGTAAAATTGCTAAGAGTTTCAAACTTTACACTCCTGAATCAAGGCTTAGTTGAATTCTATGCCGATTTTACCCAGATCCACAGATGCTGAATATCACGTAACTTTCCTAGACCGAGCTCATTCTTGTCCGTAGTTTTGTCAGGCCGGCAGAACAGTTAAAAACTATCGTGCTACTTCATTTACGGGTACCTGGAGCTTAAAAATAACCATTATATTATTACTTTCAGCCTTTTGGCTTGCGTTTTCGCCCTTATAGAAGAAAAATTCTGAAATATAGCGTATTTTCTTTTCGCTAGTATTTAGTTATCTTTGACGCAAGCTCAAACAAAACTGAATCAACCAATCTCAAAACTGTCAGAAAAGCTGTTTTAGTACGAAATTGATGGATTTCCTATTACTGCATCTAATACACCTACACCTGCAATTTTAGAAAAGATGAAGGCAGGCCAAACAATTTGAAATTTGGTTTAAGAACGAAGTATAGTTGACTGAAGGGACTCGTCGCGAATTTCCACAATAAGTAAAAAGTTAAGGTTGTAAGTTGGATGGTTTTCAGCGAGTATTCGCTGTAAAATAAGATTCCATAGAGAGAAGAATTTGCGATAAAATTTGTATATGAAATGAAATTACGTACGCAGAAACAATCGAAGTGTTCAGAGAAGTTGCTGAAAAAGGATCAAATGCTGCATACCCGAAATTGGATGAAGAAGTGCCAAATTATTATATTTATTATAGCTGAATCTTTTGTATCAAGAATTTAAATTTTAATACAAAAACTTTACATGCTTTTCATAGCGTCATATTTTTCAAACGTTTGCTGTGATTTCGTGGACTATTTATGTAACATTATTCATCTTATTGTAAAGACATATGTACTTATGTACAGCCTTGGCCAAAAGTATTAGGCATCCCACTAATTACTGATTTTTTTATTTTAATAAGTGAAATAATGAAGAGTTATTAATAAAAAAGTGAAAATGTAATGAAATAGCGGTAATAACGTCAATATTTAGTAGGTCCACCCTTCGATGTTTTAAAGTAGCCCACATGTGCTCAATGGGATTAAGATCTGGAGACTGTGCAGGCCAATCTAACAAAACAATTTTTTTCATCTCTAAACCAACGCATTGTAGTCGCTGATTTTTGACAAGGAGCATTGTCTTGCTGAAATTGAACCCCATCTAAATTAGCAGAAGAATAGCTTCTAATACATTTGTGTACTTTCGACTGTCCATGCGACCCTCGCAAACGAACATTTCGCCGACACCATCAGCAGCCTGAAGCCCCAGATCATAATGCTGCCTCCGCCATGCTTAACAGTAGATACCACGCAATCGGATGATATTCTTTCCCAACCCGTCGCGTTACGAACGTCACACCAGGTGTTCCAAATATCAGAAGAAAAGAAAAAATAATGTTTTCATAAGATTTGTATTATGTCTTCAAAATTGCTCTAGGGTGAGAAGCTATGGTTGTTAATACATTAATACGATATTAACTAAGCTTACGAAGTTTGATTCATCAGACTCATCCGTGAAATGTTGGTATCGGCGAGCCCATTCCAAAGGATTTTTCTTATTCTTTTCTGAAAGTTACGGCTTCTTTCGGGCTTTACATCCTTTTAAACCGGCTTCCAGAAGTCTTCACTTAGAGCTTGAGTTCTATCTCTATCATCATAACTAATTTCACTTCGTTTAAGCATTTCGGTAAATATGAACTGTTTTTATAAGATTGGTAACTTTTCTCTAAATGTAATTTACACTTTCATTTTCAAATTTTAAATGCGAAAATATTTTATGAATTTCTTAAAAGTGACAATTTTTAGGTTTAACTTACCCAGGGTGCTATGACTTTTAATATAACACAGCTTATTCGTTTAATCAACAGTTAAACACCCATGTAAGACATTTACAAAAGGAAGTAATAACTTTCATAGCCACATTTGAGAATACTTTACTTTACTTTAGTGGGGTGCCTAATACTTTTGGCCAAGGCTGTATATATAGAAATGTACGGTTAGTAGCAGAAGTATTTTGCGTGTGGTCTTGAAGTACAAATTTCATTTTAGGCGTAAATGCTGCCGACACGCCTTCTATTTCGCTAACTCACAACAACGAAAACAATGAAGCGAGAGGAATTGGAAAGCTAGTTTTAGACAAAATGGTTTGATGATTTATTGCTATTCGTTTTACTAGGTACTAGGTTTTGCCTACGACTTCGTTCGCATGGAATTACAAAAAAAAATATTTATATGATTTTTTACTAGTTTTTTACGTTAATTATTTTATTACCACCCTTCAGTTATTATGTTCAAATCTTTGAACACTTAAAAAATATAACAATTATTTTTTCAAATATCAAGTAAATCGGACCTTAAATAAGATTTTTTTCGAATAGATCGGTCCCTGCCACACTTCCCTAAACACCGTGGTCCACACATTATCCTGGGCAAAAAATATATAAATTCCCAAATTCAAGCAAATCGAATAATAAATATGAATCATTCAAATCGATCGACACCGGAAATCGAGACATTAAAACGATTTTTCAGAACAGAGCGGTTCCGGGTTCACTTCTAGGAAGAAAACCGAACCATTGATTCGATTCCAGACTCACTTTCCGACAGAAAGTGTGCTGCTGATGTTAATATAGGCAGAAAAGCTACCTATGTACCAATTTTCATGTAAATTATATGATTTAAGAGTAAATACGAATTTACATCTCCTAAACCGTTTCTTATCGGATGCCTATGTCATACCCAGAACACATCCTCTTAGCTTCATGTCTCGCGATCAGTGGTTTAGATTGTGGGTTGATCCTGAATAGAAAAAAATGAAACTATCAGATATGTTTTCATATAGTAGACTAATCAAGGGATTAAATTTGAAAATAAAATATTTTACGTGTAAGTATAATTGTAATATAAAAAGTTAGACAACGAGCAGATGACTAAATTTATTGAAAGTTACCTGATTTTTTTTAATTCGACAACAAATCAAAATACATGTTTTACATAGCTAAGCTGGATATTTTAGCATAAGGTCACATGTAAAACTAACACCGATGAAATATTAACATAAGATGTGGAACTCTTATTGCACTAATTCTTTGTTTTTATTGTTAAATAAAATAAATAAATATCTTGTAGTAAGCAACCTTTATATAAAACATTAAACCATATTTGAAATAAATTAGAAAAAATTATAAAAACACCTATGGGTCTCTTAATTGTCTTCAAATGCAAGATACTTTTGTGAGTAACTGTATGAGACTTCCATGACCTTAAAAATGATATTCATACATCTTTTTATTATCAAAAATATATTATAGTATCTAATAATAATAGAGTCATGCAAATAAGTTATTGACTACGTTTAGGCAATATACTTTTATAGTTGTAGGAGTTACTTAGGGTGTTGATATGAATTATTCAATGGTGAGGTAAAATGCAATAAGAAGAATTATAGTAACATTCCGTCAATTAATGGGTTTAGCGCATGACTGGCGATTCTCAAAATGGCAGAGAAACTCGACAACATTAAAGTGAAACACAAAATTGCCTTATAGAAGTTTACAAATCAATAAACTAAGAGTTATGTAGTACAATATTTAGGGAGTTCACTAGACGCGCTACGAGTTTATTTACTAATTCAACAAAAAATTGACCTGTGATTAGCAAAAAATACGCTTATAATGTTGATATGGTGGTAGTTTGTAAGGAATACGAAGAATTTGACGGGAAAATTCAAATTCAAACCAACGCACTTAAGTTATGTTTGGAGAATATTACAAAATGCGAATTCAAATAAAAAAATCGAATTAAAAAAAAATAAAACTTAAAATCATACTTACCAATTGGAATGCCTTACAATCAATATAAGTATTATAATAAAAAAACATATTTTCCATACATAGGCAATCAATTGCTGATGCCAATAAAAACAAAAATTACAATAAGTAAAATTAAGTAACAAAAATATATACATTTTTTCAACAGGGAGACGGTGAGAGCAATGACGGTATGGATTCCGATTGTAGTACCTGTTCAAATCCTGGCAAACAAGTGGTGGTGGGCATATGTGCCATGGCCAAGAAGACGCAGTCGAAACCAATGAAGGAAATTTTAACACGCTTGCAAGAATTTGAATTCATTAAAATGCTTATATTTTCCGAAGATGTCATTTTAAAGGTAATTAATTAACTCAAGGTACATACATACATATATAATAAACAACATTAAATGTCTTGTATGCTTACATTCAACATTCAGGAACCGGTTGAAAATTGGCCGCTATGCGATTGTCTAATTTCATTTCATTCGAAAGGCTTTCCCCTGGAAAAAGCCATACAATATGCACAGTTACGTAAACCCTACGTGCTCAACAATTTGCACATGCAATACGATATACAAGATCGCCGTCGTGTTTATGCTATATTAGAGAAGGAGGGAATTGAAATACCACGTTATGCGGTATTAGATCGTGACTCGCCTGATCCAAAACGTAAGTAGCATTAGATATTTCACAAAATAAAATAAATATTATATTGTTTTAAAACCTTCCAGAGCATGAACTCATCGAATCTGAAGATCATGTAGAAGTGAATGGCATTATTTTTAATAAACCTTTCGTGGAGAAACCCGTTTCGGCTGAGGACCATAACATCTACATTTACTATCCTACATCGGCAGGTGGCGGCAGTCAGCGTTTATTCAGAAAGGTGCAAATTACAGAGTTTTAAAGAAATATTATACAAATCTTCTTTTTTCTATTATTTACAGATTGGCAGTCGTAGCAGCGTTTATTCGCCAGAGTCACGTGTACGCAAAACTGGTTCTTTCATCTATGAAGATTTCATGCCCACTGATGGTATGTATTCGTACTCCCATGAGAATGTTTTTTTTTCTAGCGAAATACCAAAGAAAGAATGCACTAATTTTCTTCTAAAACGTTTAGCCCATCGAACGCATTTGATTTTATAGCCACAAAAATCATAAAATTATGATGAATTGTTTTTTGATTGTTTTTTTTTATGGATTTTTAGCAACCCATTTGAATTTGGTTTTTGAAAAATTATATATTTGGCATCGGTCATTTGTAAGTGGTTCAATTGCTTAACTTTGTTTTTGAGTACGCTTTTATAAAATCAAATAAAAACTTTTAGTACACTTTAACAAAACTGTTAATTGTTCGAAATCATACATTATGTGCGAATCATCAACAAATTACAATACAAAAAATTCTTTTACACTTGCAAGAAGTAGCGGTGAGTTAAAAAGAATTCATTTTGAAATTATTCCATCATGAGTTTAAATATAAGTAGTTGTATGTATCAGTATAACTTCCAAATCATTAGGCTCATTTGTATATTTTTTATTATAACAACATAAGTTGCATAAAGCGATATCCATATTCATTAGATTCCAACTGTACATATGTAGGGATAAAACATTTCCTTCATTTAATTTCAAACATGTTTTTCAAATGATCTACCTATAAGTCTCTCATTCTAATTGCTGTTGTTGTTGTAGATATAAAATATTCCAAAAACATTTTTGACTGTCTTAGACTGTGCATTCATTGAATTTTGGCTTCTTTATGTTAATGTGTTTTTCGTTGTTGATTCTTGTCTAAGCGGGTGGGGCGGTAATCTTTGAAATGAATACAAACTGATCACTAGACTCGTTTCAAAATCTTGTCGTTTAATCCAATAGCATACCGCTTAAGGAAAAGTTATTAAATAAAGTAATTGTCAAAACAGGTGTATTTTACCACGTCCTTCTAATCAGACCCTTTCTACGTGATACAAAAATAAGACCTAATAAATACCGTTAGCCTGCCTAGAAGCTTTTTTAAAATACCCTTACCATACTACAAAGTTTTTAGAGAAAATCCCACCAGGTATTAAAGCTTTTTGATTCCTTCTTCGCCAACGCATTATTTATACAGTAGCGGAGGCACATATCTCATTCCATTTCATTGAAGACGAGTTCTATGTGTAAAGCTAAAGTGCAATCTATTGGGTAAGTCCGATGGTTTAATGGACTACTAAGCTTATATAAACCCTCTAAGGTTTTTACGAATATATTTCGGAGAGTAACGAGAAATCAGGTTTGTCTTTGCAGTTATATAAGCTTTCGAGAGAAATATAAGAATCCAGGCGTAGCACCAACTTTGCCCAAATCATCAGGGCCTCACATATTAAGACTTTTATTTAGTAAACTCAACTAGAGTCCTGCCGCGATATCACAGTGTATTCAAGAATCAAGATCGTTTGCTCTGCATGATCCAAATAAATGTAAAACGTTCATGATAAGAGCCGACTCAAATTAAATGATAATGCCATCCTCATTAATCATCGTGACAATTTTTCTTTTTTTTATATAGAAGTGCTGTTAATAAGAAAAAACAAAATTGGAGTGATTCGTTTCAGTTGCTTTTCATTGCTCATCAGATCAGGCGTCTACTATTCTCTTTATAGCACCAACAAGATCGGCTAAGAATCCAGCATTACTTTTAAAACTTAGTATACTTTTCAGGTACGGACGTTAAGGTCTATACAGTTGGTCCTGATTATGCACATGCCGAGGCACGAAAATCACCAGCCCTCGATGGCAAAGTTGAGCGCGATAGTGAAGGCAAAGAGATACGCTATCCGGTTATATTGAATAATGCCGAGAAGTTAATTTCACGCAAAGTATGTTTGGCTTTTAAACAGACCGTTTGCGGATTTGATTTGTTACGGTGAGTTTACGCAATATCTCTATATATACTTTTTCTCAAACATAAATAATTTCGCTATTGCTTTCTATGCATTTCACAGTGCCAATGGTAAATCGTATGTATGCGACGTGAATGGCTTCAGTTTCGTTAAAAACTCAAATAAGTATTACGATGATTGTGCGAAGATTTTGGGTAACATGATACTGCGTGAACTCACACCAACGCTACATATACCATGGCTGGTGCCCTTCCAACTGGACGATCCACCCATCGTGCCCACAACTTTTGGCAAAATGATGGAACTGCGTTGTGTCGTGGCAGTAATTAGACATGGCGATCGCACACCCAAACAGAAAATGAAGCTGGAAGTGCGACACCCTAAGTAATTTTGCATTGAACTTTAAATTTTTTCTTGAATGAAAATGTACTAACCTTAACCATTTAATATCGCTTCCTTTATAGATTTTTTGAAATATTTGAGAAGTATGATGGCTATAAAGATGGTCATGTTAAATTGAAACGCCCAAAACAATTGCAGGAGATTTTAGATATAGCGAGATATTTATTATCGGAGATTCAGAACAAATCAGCAGATGCTGAAATACAAGAGAAAGAAAGCAAATTAGAACAATTGAAAAATGTATTAGAAATGTAAGTGTGTGTTTTTAGGCGTTGTTTTAATTTGCTAATTATTATTTTGCACGGCGACTAATTAGGTACGGACATTTTTCTGGCATAAATCGTAAAGTGCAAATGAAATATCAACCTAAAGGGCGACCACGTGGTTCCAGCTCCGATGACGGTAATACTTAAATGAAATTATTAAACACTAAACATTTAAAATCTGACTTATAATTTAACTAACTTCGAGACAAAATTCACTATCCCCCGTAGATGCTGTAGACGTTTATAGTAACTTATTTGCTTGTTTCGTTTGTTGTGTTTATTTTGATTTCGATTTAACCATTTATGCTTTAAAGTAGATGCGCCAAAGCAGCCGTCTTTAGTTTTGATACTAAAATGGGGCGGTGAGTTAACACCAGCTGGCCGCATACAAGCCGAAGAATTGGGCCGCATTTTCCGCTGCATGTATCCTGGTGGTCAAGGACGGCAGGACTACTCTGGCACGCAGGGCTTGGGTTTGTTGAGGTGAATTTCATTGGTATTTTTAAATGATTAAACAATTAAAATTTTGCTAATTTTTTATTTCTTTAATTACATCATGAATTCGATATTTTCTTCAAAAAGATTGCATTCTACTTTCCGTCATGATTTGAAAATATACGCATCTGATGAAGGTCGCGTCCAGATGACTGCAGCCGCTTTCGCTAAGGGCTTGTTGGCGTTGGAGGGCGAACTCACACCAATTCTAGTACAGATGGTGAAGAGTGCTAATACGAATGGCTTGCTGGATAATGATTGTGACTCTAGTAAATACCAAACGCTGTAAGTAGCTGCACTAAATTTTAGGAAAATTAATCAGTTTGTTTTCTAAATGTAATTATTGGTGCGTAATAAATAATTCAAGCCAAAACTAGTAATATGAAACGCAATATAATATTTTAGTTAAGTTAAAAAACAAGACTAGACTACTACGATTATATTATCTTTTAGCGCCAAGCAGCGTCTGCATGATTTGATGCGTGTTGATCGAGAATTTACGCTCGAGGATCGTGAAGTCATTAATCCATGCAACAGTATTTCTATAAATCAAGCCTTGGATTTTGTCAAGAATCCCGTAGAATGTTGTAATCACGTACACAAATTAATTAAAGAATTGCTGACCATTATTAGCGTCAAAAAGGAGGATCCAAAAACTAAAGACGCTATACTATATCATGGCGAAACCTGGGATTTAATGGCCCGTCGTTGGGAGAAAATTGAAAAAGATTTTAGCACAAAATCCAAACAATATGATATTTCAAAAGTACCCGATATTTACGATTGCATTAAATACGATTTACAACACAATCAACACACACTTCAATACGATCAGGCCGAAGAGTTGTACATCTACGCCAAATATCTAGCTGATATTGTTATACCACAGGAGTATGGTTCAACGGTCCAAGAGAAGTTGGCAATTGGTCAAGGTATTTGTACGCCACTGCTTAAGAAAATTAAAGCCGATTTGCAGCGTAATATCGAAGAGGCAGGCGATGAATCGGTGAATAGACTAAATCCACATTACAGTCATGGTGTAGCCAGCCCAGGTCGTCATGTACGTACACGCTTATACTTCACAAGTGAAAGTCATGTGCACTCATTGTTAACTGTTTTGCGTTATGGCGGTTTGTTAAATGTGTTAAATGATGAGCAATGGCGTCGTGCAATGGATTATATTTCCATGGTATCAGAATTGAATTATATGTCACAGGTTGTCATAATGTTATATGAGGATCCTACAAAGGATCCCACATCAGAGGAACGTTTTCACGTCGAACTACATTTCAGTCCAGGTGTTAATTGTTGTGTACAAAAGAATTTGCCACCCGGTCCAGGCTTTCGGCCACATTCACGTAACGATTCTGGCAATCCTAAGCAAATGGTGAGTGTATATCCGATTACACAAATGTTTACACGATTTTTTGAAATGTATAATTTCACAATTAATTATTTTTATTTAAAGGGTTCGAGTTGTACAATTTTGAAGAACAATTCTGCTTGCGATGAAGTGAATACTCCACGCATAGAGGAAGAAAACGATTCAGAGGATAGTCCAGGAAAGAGCCAAGCTGATGTAAGTGAAGTGTTTTAATTTATCAATAGAAAGTGGTTCGCTCCTAATAGGAAAACAATTTTTAAACGAAATTCAATTAATAATACGGATTAAAGAAGGCTAGATAAATAATAGGTAATAGGCAGGTAGGTATACAGATAGTGAATTACCAATCCCACCTTGGAGCTGGCTAGATCAGTCATTGTCAGCGAGGTCATTTAACGAGAGGTCCAGAAAACGCGCTGTTTCGACGGGTTCGCTTGCCGAAATCGACCACAGATATAGCTATCCGCTATCATCATAAACGATGTTGCACGGTGTTATACAGAATGAACACTAAGCCCCACACCCCGTGCTTTTGCCAGCAATCCTTGCGTATGATTTTGTAACCGACCCGACTCAGAAGGTATGAGCGGGCGTTGAGCTCGGTTTCTTAGACCGCAGCATTTGCAGGTGCTCCCTGCTCAAGAAGTCAGCTATCTCGTCGATCCACACCCAAACCCCCCCCCCCTGAGTCTGTTGCGGTTCAATTGTAAGCGTCTTTTCTGGGAGCCATGCTGCGTTTCACCGTAAGGGGTATCCAAAGTGGTTCAACAAGTCTTACTATAAAGAAGTGCAATTATAGCCCTTAGAACTTCTAACTCTGCTCCATCTTTTAAACTACTTCGACATTAATTTAAATTTTCTTTCCTAAAATCTCTAGTACTACGACAAAGACACACCTCTAAACTCGAAACATCTTAAATCAAAGCCCATACCAATCGGTGCACATCACACTGTAAGCGGACATGAGGCAGCACATTTGGCAAAACGTTTGAACGAGGAATTGGCTTCACAACAACATTCACTGGAATCACAACGACCCATCAGTCCAGATACTGAGCCACGTTCACGGAGTTATGAACAACGCGATCCAAAGAGTGCCAAAGGTATGTTTCACTTAGATACTAACAAAATTCACGTTGTTGCTGCTGCGTTTGAGTACGTCTCCTGTTTTGCTTTTCAAAAAAATTTGTTTTTATTTTCCTTTATGACATCTAACACAACAATCATATGCGATGTCGCGATTATTGGTCGAAATATGGTTTAATACACTCAAACACACTTACAAAAATATATTTATCTATTTTTATTATAATTATTTATTTATTTTTTTTAACCATTAACGTCTTTCCAAAAAAACCAAAATAGCATGTGCCGATCTATGTGGCGCTTCATTGGCGATAACAGTTACATATACATATGTACAATATTAACTATTTATTAGACTACACAAACTTATATATATGTATACATACTATTGTATATATGAATCGAATTCAGAATGTAGACCCTTAAATTATTTACTTTACAAACCGAATATTTATGTGAGCTGTTATTATTTTCATTTTCATGTACCTGAGCCTCTTTCCAGCACAGATAAGAGTGTATTAGATTTTAGTCTGATTGAATAGAAAGGTTTGAGCTTTTAAGCAAAGGAAATGCATTAGCATGATATGATTTATTAACTTCGGTCCGAAGTATGTAAATACCAGAAGGAGAAGGGATAGACCAAATTTGTATATATGTATATATAACACATATGATACACACACAATTACATGATTTTCAGTCTTCGAAATCGGACTCATACAACCGATTTGTACAGATATTAAAATTGATACGAAGGGTGCAAAGACTTAGGTATTTCTTGTTTCTTTGATTAATTGCTTAGTTACTGTAGAGCAGATAACTCTAATGAAAACTTTTTAAAATGAGTGCTTAAAGCATCAAAACACTCAAGAAGTTATATAAAATATATTTCTATATTAATACACGCGTTTTAACAGACCAAGAAAAGCAAAATTATAAACTTTTGCAGGTTTGGTGCATTTTTTACGTGTTTGAAAGATTTAAGAACGTAAGAAATTCAATGAAAGTAGAGTATTCCGGTAAAATATTGTAGTAAAAGTGAGGTTAAATATTGCAGGCATAGATAATAATAGACATTTACAAAATGAAATTAATTTTAGAGCTTATAATACTTAGACCGCAATTGTGAGGTGCGAGTAACATTTCCTTAGGTTTTTTTTTTTTTTTTTAAATTTTACTGAAATTAAAAATTGCTTCACGCTAGATTTAGTAGTGGCGTAGGTTATGTTTCAATAATTTATTTAAATATATGTATTAATAAAATTCATATAATAAGTACGTAGACTCCCACAGAAGTTTCTGCCTATTGATATTATTTGCTCTATTACTTTAGTATCCTTTATGTGCATTATTCATACTTTATGTATATGTATACAAAAAGAAAAATATTAACTAAATTACTTTCTTATTAACATACATTTTGTTTAAACTTTATAACACAATGACAAAATTTTCGTATAAGCATCTGGCTGGGAATTTCCGTGTATTTGGCTGAAATTCGGTGTCGTCTCTTGCTGTCGTCTTTGAAATACTGCTGTCATATAATTATATAAATATATTCATAAAAATTTCTCCACATGAACATACATATAAAAGCGTATATCAAAACTAGTCGCTGGGAAATGTTAAACGCTTTCGTAAATAGAAAGCACCGATATTTTTTTTAATGCCTGTTTCATTGAGATTGGAAAAGTAAACAGGAATTATTGAAAATATTCAATGATTATAGTGAGTTTACGCTATAAGCATTGCAAACATTTGCCAACAACTGGCTTTTGGCTTTACGAGATATGCAAAAATTTCTCTTTCTCTCTATTTGTGTTCAGTGTACTTATTATATAAGTTTAGCCTTCCCAACGTTTCAACTGTGTATTTTTTAATACACTTTCTAACTCTCAATGATGAATTCTACACTCATAATCATAATGTTATTTCCCAAAATTTGTGAATTGAAGGTGTTTTGAAAAACTATATTTTATTTTAATTTATAATACATGCGCATACATTACATTATGTGTTAGTTGCTTGTGGGCTCATATTTAAGTCGAGGCTTTATTTTTTTTTGTTTTTGGGGTGTCTTAAAATCTGAAAAATTTAATTCTAGTGAATTACACAAGTTTTATTTTACCTTCATATTCTTATATAAATTCAGAGATTAGTTTAAAGCGAGATCAAGTATTCGATCCTACAGGCACACAAAAAATACGTCGAAATCTGATTGTGGTTACATCAAGGTAATCGACTCGTCCATCCTACCGACCTTTCTCATAGTGGTCATTCCTTTCGTCTGTGCTGTACATTTTCTCTTCAGCACAATTTTATAGTTTAACATGGCCGACGCTCTTATTGTTGGCTGACTGTTTGGTTTCAATGTGATATATAAGAAAATTCGCAGGCTGCGACACACCGCAATATTCTGACTGCTTAAATACTGTTCCAATGAAAAGTTATTCGAAAACGATGAGCGATGATCTGCACTAAGAAATACTGCAACATATCGAAGGTCGAAAGGTTGCATGAGATCTAGCTCATTGCCGTGGAATCCAGCGCCCACTCCATCCGTGAAGATGTGGTAACTTCCTCTGGCGGCAAACATTCATTTTTAATGTGAATGAAAACCTTCCTTTCCAGGTAAAGATTAAAGTTATAGATATAACCATTTCCTTGGTTATTGAGCTCTAAAGGTCTAGTAGAAAATTAACCTAGTTGTACTAAGCTCATAGCGGATATCGCTACGATGTTTTCTACTTTGCAATGTCAATTGATGGTAAATTAAGTAACTTTTCGAGCTCAGCCGTTTGAGCAGTTCATAGCGCTGTCGTTAACCCAATGCACTGATCTGCCGCATTCACTAGAATAGTTTTCTGTAAGAAATTTCGCTGGCCGCTACTACACTAAAGCACCATAGCATAAGGTTGACGACCCGTGCTGCTTTCAGAATATTCTGACATTGCTGAAAGCTTCACTTATTTCCAGAAACACACTCGGAGAGCATTCCTTATGATCCAGAAGTCTAACTTCATTCGAATAGCGAGGCTTTCTATGCACAGCTTTGGCTCGAACACAACTCTCGCCTTGAGTCAGCCATTTTATTTTAATGACACAGACGTTTATTAGCCTTTATTCGTATCTTCGTTTTTTTATTTTATTATTATAATTTTCTCTGATGATTTAGAAAAATGATGTATATATATAATATATATCGGCAGAGAATGTCACGCTCCCAAGTGTATCTCGGACATTGTATAAATTGCTATAAAGCTCCAATTGCATATATATACATATTCGAGTGGTGACCGCAATTAGAAAAATTAATTTTCTAAAGTTTTGGGTGCTGGTCGGACCAGAACTCGAACCTGGGCCTTCAGAATATCAGCACTGCCTGCTGACCATTCGAAATTATTTATTAAAGCTCCTACTGACAATTTTGTACTCGTACAATACTCGTAGAGAGCAATCAGCTGAGTCGATTTTATAGAAAAAAATCTCGTCGCTGGTTTCTACAATACAACTGAACGCCAAGCGGGGATAACTTTACGTTGACATGACGCCCAGCCGAGTCCCTATGTTCTTGGCTGGCTCGGTTATCAAAAGGATTAAGTTTAATTAACCCTGGTATTTTTTTAATTAACTTGACTTAATGTGTTTCCCACAAGCTTAACACATCGATGTTATGTTGTAGCAAAGTTGTATATAAAATTACATAAAAAACTGCCAAGAGATCTCATATAAGATTTTGAAAAAGAATTTTCTCCAACCATTTTCTTTATAAATCCGTACAGGAAATATCCCAAAAAAAAATCTCTTTTCTAAAATCAAAAAAAAAAGTTATCATTGTATTTCACCAACCACCATAACCTGGCACTTTTGCTTTCGAGTATATTTTATTTATGTACTTATGTATGTAAGTAGATTGCGTTAACTGAAATATAATTCAGCAAATTCGAATTTCCACACGCATACCTGCTACCTATAAATTTATAACTTTTGTACAATTCACTGATGTAACACGTTTGCATGCCAATTGTAATATCGATTTTTTTTAATGAAAAAAAAATTTATTTGAAAACACACACTTAACTAAATACTCAGGCACATACATAAGTGCGTATGTAACTACTCATATACATATACATATGTATGTAACTTCTAACAATGCAAAAGAAAAAAATTTCTGTTCGCCAAACTGCTTGCTGCATCGCCTTAATGTCGTACTCAATGTGACTTGTCCAATGCTACATCAAAAAACAAGAAGAAAAAAAAAACAAATAACAATAACTTTAATATTTTTAAAACAAATATTCCATAAATCTATATGCATATATAAAATAGAAAATTATAATGTATGTACATATGTACATGAACGACAAAATTTTTAATGCATTTACTCATTCTAAAATCTGTCATTTTACTCCACATGGTGTCAACGCTCCCCCATGTCTGTTCTGGTCAATTTAAACAAATCCAAAAATAAAAAAATTCAAATCAAAACAACGCGCTTCTCTAACACACAAACACGCTAATATTTCGGTTCAAACTCATGCTAACCACTTTTTGTGTGTTCATACATAAATCAATTACGTTACGTAACGTCTAGCTGATACTTCTACGCCTACAACTGCCTCTTCACCCAGTACTAATAAGCATGAATTTAAAGAAATCTTTAACACACGCTCTAATCCGAATTTTGCTGCCAATGCGGCTGGCGCCTTTCATATACGCGTCACTAACAGTTTGACTTTCTACAAAATTGACTCGTCGACCAATGAGTTGCCGCTGTCCGATATTGATTTCTCACTAAATCCGCTAACACCGGATTATACTTGCGCCGAACATAAGTCACATTTGTCGCACGACACGCGCAGTCATCATCAACGTCGCAGCCGTTTGCGTCCGATTGCCAGCATAGAAGAGCCGAACTCAGCGAATGAGCTGTATTTACCAAAGATATCACCGCTCGCTACTAATGAGCGTCCCCTGTCATGCAATTGTCTTAGCAGTGGTGGTGCTTTCGATGAGAATTTACCACATTCACATTCAAAAAGTATGGCCAACATCGGTCCGTGCAATGATGGTGATGAGTTGCATTTTGTATTGGGCAGCTCGCCCTTGTGCGCTTCGCGTGCGGCTTCAGTCGATGATTTCCAGCTATCTTGTTCGGCGCCTGCCACGATACTGAGCAGTGAATTTCGCTTTCGTCGGAAGCAGGAGGCGCCGCGTAAGGCTGTGGTTGTAAAACAATTACGGGTAGAGTCACCAACCAATTCGCCCACCGCGTCCACATTGAAGTTGTGTAAAGAGTCCGATGAGCGACAGCTGCAGCAGCAAGCGATATCGCAACAGAAATACGCCAATGAACTGTGCGGTGGTGGTGGTGGAGGTGGAGCCGACATCAAGTGTGTGTCTACAATGAAGACTGCTTCATCGTTCAGTTTGCCCACCGTACAGTCGGCGCCGGTGATGATCGATGTTGAAAATCCTTTCAAATTTACGCAGCAAGCTCAACAACAACAACCTTTTGTAAATAAATTTTCAACAATAAATGAATTTGATAATGCACTTGCTACTAACACCGCTTTCTCTTCTCCCCTCCAATGCGCGTCTGCGTCTGCCTGCGACTTTGACACATTAACCAAACAACAACCACATGCGCATACACATGCACAAACTGACACACAACATGCCATGCATACAACAATCACTAATGATCATCATTTTGATTCACATAATCCGCATTACAATCAACGCATTCGCCGACAACACTCACATCAAACTAACAAACAATTTAACCGTCAACAATCACTGCAACAACCACACACACTACATGCTACACCCATACCCGACGTTATTGTCACTTTGAGCTCATCCTCAACTGATATGTCTAATATGACCGATAATAATAATACTAACCAATTGAATTCGAAACTCACTCCTACCGTTCCCACTGCTTACGACAACCAACCAAATACCTATACCAATACCAATACCACAACCACAACCACAACCATAATTACTACGTACACGACAACAACAACATCATCATCGCCCAATATAAATGCTAATATGTCTGCGTCCATGTTGTCTACCACTACTACTACTACTACCACTACTACTGCGTTCACGTCCGCGTCCGCATCCAAATCCACACCCTCCATGCCCTCCTCGTCCGTGGTCGTCATCTGCACTGCGTCCACTGCAGATGGCAATGCAACGCCAGTATCATCTTCATCGTCGGTATCGTCTCGACGTCAAAGACACAGTATTGCCGGCCAGATGTCGTATATGAAAATGTTGGGATTCGGTGGTTTTAGCAAAAAGATGGCCACTAGCTCAAGTAGCTTATTTAGCACAGCAGTTATAAGCGGCAGCTCATCGGCACCCAATCTAAGGGATATGATACCGTGTGCGGTTTCCTCATCAGGTAAGTGGTGAAATTAGTTTGAGAATTGAAAAAGATATTTATACTCCTATACTTACATTTATACAATTTACTGTTGAGTACAGATTAAAAAAATTAAAGAATGTTGTACTATAAATGGGACCATGTGTAATTCCCAAGTCTTGCATTGAAATTCTAAATGTTAAAAGTAAATTTCTAAGCCAAAACTGCAAAATATATACTTTATAACGAAGGGCTTCGAAATGGCGTAAAAACTTATTCCTTCCTTGCTCCTAAGATTTTGACCAAGTGTTTTGGAAACATTGATACATGACAATAGATCGGTGATTTTGAATTAGTTGGACAGCAACCGCTTGTCATTCAATAGAATATTGCTTGTTTAATATGCAACTTTAATGTAATTCTCTTTTATGTCGGTATATAAAAATTGAATGCATTGGCTTTACACAAGTGTCGTAAGTCTCATATTAACATATGGAGCACCAGTGTGGTGGGCGATATTAAAGAAGAAGTGTCCGTCAGTACAACGTACCTGCCTACTTGTTCTAACAGGCGCCATGAAAGAGATGTATGTAGCAGCGCTTACAGCTAGCCGCGTAAATATTCTAGCAAATTGGGTCCTGTCCTCCAATAATTTAGAGAATTATATCAGAACTCAGACTAAACGTAAATTGCGACCGAGAAATGGAAACCTTCTGCAGTGTAGATGCGATCTACCCCTCCTTCCCTAGCAGGAAAACTTCAATAACCAAAGTACATTCAAACTCAACGACTAAAAAACTGTTATCCAAGCAGAGATTGGACAATGCTCCAGGTGCCAAAGAGGGACCTGCTTTCATGAGAAAATCTTTTAGGTTTCTGGTAAATAATTTGTGGGGTAATTAATCGACAACCTTCACATGTTGTCTAATGCAGTTGGCAAATGAGGAACACTTAAGGTCCTGTAATACTTCCACAGTAACACTTACTTACCTACTTACTTTACTGGCGCAGACACCGTTTGTTTAGCGCCAATTCGAAATTCCAAGTACAGCCAGGTCCTTCTCTACCTGGTCTTTCCAACGGAGTGGAGGTCTTCCTCTTCCTCTGCTTCCACCGGCGGGTACTGCATCGAAAACTTTCAAAGCTGGGGTATTCGCATCCATCCGGACCACATTACCTAGCCAGCGTAGCCGCTGCTTCTTGATCGTTCCATCGTCTGCGCTATTCGCCGTCGCCAATGAGCAAAGGATCAGAAATCTTAGGCAAAACCTTTCTCTCGAAAATTCTTAACACCGACTCATCATTTGTTGTCATCGTCATCGCAGGACGGGAACGACGAGGGACTGGTAGAGTTTGATTTTCGTTCGTCGGGAGAGTACTTTACTTTTCAATTGCCTACTCAGTCCAAAGTAGCACCTGTTGGCAAGAGTGATTCTGCGTTGGATTATTGTTGGACATTATTGTTGGTAGATGATGGTTCCTAGGTAGACGAAATTATCTACGACTTCAAAATTGTGATTGTCAACAGTGACGTGGGAGCCAAGTTGCGAATGCGATGACTGTTTGTTTGATGACAGGAGATATTTCGTCTTGTCCTTGTTCACTACCAGACCCATTCGCCTCGCTTCTTTATCAAGCCTGGAGAAAGCAGAACTCCCGACGCGGTCTTATTATTTTCTCCAGCATCAAATTGAAGAAATCACACGATAAGGAGTCACCCTGTCTGAAACCTCGTTCGGTATCGAACAAATTTTGACTGCGCTTCTGGTGTTGTCTTGCGTCAGCTTACACAGCCGTATAAGTTTTGCGAGGATACCAAATTCAGACATAGCGGCATAGAGACAGTTCATATTCGTGCTGTCGAAGGCGGCTTTAAAATCGACGAAAAGGTGGTGTGTGTCGATCCTCTTTTCACGGGTCTTTTCCAAGACTTGGCGCATGGTGAATATCTGATCAATGGTTTACTTACCAGGTCTGAAGCCACTCTGATAAGGTCCAATCAGCTTGTTGACGTTGGGCTTCAGTCTTTCACACAATACGCTCGACAGGACCTTATAGGCGATACTAAGGAGGCTTATTCCATGGTAATTGGCGCAGACTGTGGGGTCCCTTTTTTTATGGATTGGGCAGAGCACACTTAAATTCCAATCGTCGTTCATGCTTTCGTGCGACCATACTCTGCAAAGTAGCTGATGCATGCACCTTGTCAGCTCTTCTCCGCAATGTTTGAATAGCTCTGTCGGTAGACCGTCAGCTCCCGCCGCTTTGTTGTTTTTTAAGCGGCCGATTCCAATTTGAACTTCTTCATGATCAGGTAATGGAACGTCTTTTCCATCGTCATCGATTGGGGTTTCGGGCTCACCATCTCCGGATTCTCCATTTTCACTACTATTCAGCAGGTTGGAGAAGTGTTCCCTCCATAAATTCAATATACTCTGAGCATATTCAATATACTCTGGGCTAGATCACCTCTTTGTGCCCTACAAGAGTCTGCTCGGGTCTTGAAATCTTCTGTAAATCGTCGTATCTTCTCATAAAACTTTCGTGCATTACCCTTGTCGGCCAGCTTCTCAAGCTCTTCATACTCACGCATCTCTTCCTGTTTCTTTTTTCGTCTGCAAATGCGTCTTGCTTCCCTCTTCATCTCTCGGTATCTGTCCCATCCCGCAAGTGTTGTGGTCGACCGCTAGGTTGCCAGGTAGGCAGTCTGTTTTCTCTCCACTGCGACGCGGCAGTCCTCATCGTACCAGCTGTTTTTGCGAAATCCAATAGTTTCGTCGCAGCTGTACGTAGGGAGCTTGAAATGCCGTCCCACAGTTCCCGTATGCCGAGTCGCTGATGAGTGCTCTCAGAGAGCAGGAGTGCAAGTCGAGTAGAAGTCGGCAGTCTGTTGTGATTACAGCTTTTCGAACTTTCCTTGTGTTTGTTGACGGGCCTTCTTCGATACACAGAGGCGCATGCGTATCTTTGCTGCAACAAGATAATGGTCCGAGTCAATGTTGGGTCCTCGGAGTGTACGCACGTCAAGAGCGTTGGATACATGTCTTCCGTCTATCACAACATAATCGTTTTGGTTTTGTGTTTTACGATCCGGTGACAGCCAAGTAGCTTGATGTATTTTTTGTGCTGGAATCTTGTACTACAGTACTACAGACAACCATATTTCGGGCCCCGACGAAGTCGATCAGCCTCAATCCATTAGGGGATGTTTTGTTGTGAAGGCTGAATTGTCCAACAGTTGTACCAAAGATACCTTCTTTGCCCACCCTGGCATTAAAGTCGCCAAGCACGATTTTCACGTTGTGTCGGGGGCAGCGCTCGTAAGTATGCTCTAGGCGCTCATAAAAGGCATCTTTGGCCAAATGGTCCTTCTCTTCCGTCGGGGCGTGGGCGAAACACAGCGATATGCTGGAAAATTTAACTTTGATGCGGATTGTGGCGAGACGCTCATCCACCGGGGTGAATGCCAATACTCGACGACAGAGTCTCTCTCCCACCACAAATCCAACACCAAATTTGCGCTCCTTTATATGGCCGCTGTAGTAAATGTCACAAGAACTTACTCGCTTTCGTCCTTGTCCCGTCCATCGCACTTCTTGGATGGCGGTGATGTCAACCTTTATTCTTACGAGGACATCAACCAGCTGGGCAGCGGCACCTTCCCAATTAAGGGACCGGACATTCCAGGTGCATGCCCTCAAATCGTGATCCTTAATTCGTTTGCGGGGATCGTCAACAGGGGTATCTCATCCGAGGCGTTGTTGCATTTTTCATTGGTGCTGGTTTCTACGTGGCGGGTCCCAAACCCAGCGCACAACCTCACTAGGCGAGTAGGTTTAAAGTTTATTTATTACACTTGCTTCAAGACCGACGCCCGCTCGCAGCCCCACCATATGGTCGGCATGATTTAGCTAGCGTTGCTACTGTGTCTTAATTCGCTGAACTATGTCAATGTCGCCAAATAACGGGTACGAAGATCTCCAAAAGCTCGAATGCCGATGTTTTAATGTTTGATCTTTTCTTATGAGAGAGAACTTTACTTCTTGATTGTCAGCTCTGTCCAAAGCGGAACCTGTTGGCAAGAGTGATTCTGCGTTGTGTTTCGAACATGACATTTATGGTGGTTTGATGCGCAAATAGTTTATTTCACTACAATATCAATATCCAAATGAAACTTAACATATTCTTCGCTCAACAGCCTTACCAAGGTCGTAAAATATGTGGAAATCGGAAATAGTCAATGAAATAGTTGATGAGAACGAGGCCATTGGCCTTGGCAAGCATTTTTATGCTCAAGTCAAATTTTTTGAGCAAAACAGCGACCGAACTGTAGTGAGTGACGGTACTTGAAGTACTTTTCTATACGTTATTTTTGAAAATTCTTGAGCCACTGCGCAGTAAAATTTCAAAGTTCCAACCTTTCTGCCTTATCGTGAAGAAAAAATTGGGAATTTTGTCGAAAAATGGGACTTTTGGAAAACACAGGAGATATACCCATAAAAAAATTTAAGCCGATATGATCAGTATGAAGCCCATATCCGTCTGTCTGTTCGAACGCCACGTTTGAGATACATATTTGAACGAAACTTAGTATGTGGATGTATTTTTGCAATGTATTGATAATTTTTGGGAACCCGGCAGATCGGTCGATTATATCAAATTGCTTCCTATATTTAGTGAGTTTTCGAAGCATTTCCTTTTATTTTCTTTTCTCAATATTATTAATGACAAATCAAGGATTCGCAGAAATATATTTGTTATATTTATTCAAATTCAAAGCAAAAACAGGACATTAATGAATGATTAAATCATGATAATTTTTTGGGATATATCTATTTAACGTTTAAAAAACGAAGCCTTCCTTGGTAATCCGAAAGTTTAACTTATGTCCAGTCTTTTGACCTCTAATAACACTAATAGACCCCAAATTGTATCAACTGTATGTAACATATTTGTATGTATATTTTTACATAAGCCCACATTTGCTAACTCAATTTTTTCTCTCATCCAACGTCACGCAATCAACTTGTCGGCTGACCCTCACACGTAGTACTTGAAGGTTTCGGCGGTGTACCACCGATACGACCACTTGAGACGCTACACAATGCACTCTCGCTGAAGCAGCTCGATCAATTTCTACATAAAATGACAACATCGCCACTCTTCAAAACGCCAGCCTCGTCGCCACCAAAACATCCATCAACGCCACAGCAGAATTTACTACAAAATGCATTGCATTCAATGTGCTCGCTAGAGGCGGCCACTAGCTATGTATCCGGCGACAGTTTGTGTCACTGTCAGGAGGCGACAGATGCCGATCAGGCTGAGGAACAGATGCGTGAATCCATATTGCAAAATGCAATGAGCGTACAACCAGCTGCAAATACGCGCAAGCAGACATCGACACCGGAAAGTGCTGCTCAAACAAGAGCAACGGAAGAGACGGTAGCAACAGCAGCAAAAGGCGCTACAACAGACCGGTTTGTAAGATGCCATAATCCAGGTGCAGCCGATGCTAATGCTACAGTGACCGGTGCGCAACCAACAACCGGAGGAAGTAAGTCCGACGATGAAACAGTAAATTGAATGTTTTTCTTCTTCTTCTGCCATACAATTGTGTATGCTGTAGTGCGTTGCATTTTTTGATGTTGCTGAATTATTTTGCACACACACACACACACACACACTTTTGCTGTATGCAAGTCGCAAAAAAAATACTATTTATCACAAAATCTATATTTTTCCTCTGCTACTTTAAGTATTTCTCTTACGAAAATTGGTAGTTGAGATACAAGTTTCTTTTAATGTTCAAAAAAAAAAACAATTTTTCTGTCGTCTGCACGGCGCTTGCGCAACTGCGGATATTTAACTTCTCCTCCAATGCCGAAAAGCAACTTGTATTGACACTACCTACTTACAAATCTGTATATTCATTTTGTATATATATTGAATGTATCTTTTTTCCAAATCTTTGCAACATAATGCAGTCACAAATATCTGTATGAACGCACTTACTTTATTTGTATTATTTTATCATATTTTATATTTGCCTGAATATTTATAAAAAGCTAAGTGGATATGAATTGAAAATATTTTGTTTTTTTTTCCTGCCTATGTAATTAGAAAATAGCCCTATGAATTGAAAACTTCCATTTGGATTGACCACTTTTAAACTAAATATATATGTACATATGAAATTTGTATAGTTACGAATATTGATTTTTTAGAAAAGTTAAAAAAGTCGCTCTTTACTGAATGAAACCTATTTATAGATTAAATAAAATTAATTAAGTGAATAAACTCAATTTGTACTTCCCATTATGAAAAAGAAATACACTGTTTTTTATTTTAATCAAATTTCTTCTTTTTTCAATGATTCGAGAAGTCTAATCCCTTTAAAAGAACGCAAAGTAGGAAAGGAAAAAAATGCTAATGATGCTAAGCGTTTTTATTTTTTCACCTTTTTTCCGGCAATAATTAATTATATTTCTTATCTGAGTGTAACCAATATTAATATAATTTTTTTCATGTTTGGTTAGGGAGTTGAAAAAAATGTATATGCGCGGGTTGTATGTAACCTTTTTGCATCTCTCTGCTAATGTAGACAAAGAGCTCTACAAAACTTCAATTAAATCGAGGTCCTAAAGATCGCTTTCAGGTCTACCTCATGGAAGAAAAAGTAATCTTGGTCCATAGTACTTTTCCAGTTAAAGAAGTCTTATATGCTTATGTATCGCATATAAAAAAATACCTACACATGTGTGAAAATTCAAACAATTTGAGACATAAAGATATTTTTTAGAATAGGGCTCCACTTCCCGAGAGGAAAAACATTTTCTTGTGAATCTCGTCGAAAAGCTACCAAATTTCAAATAAATCAAATTGTCCATGTATTTTTTAATATCAACTAGAAAATATTTTGATGTTGCCACCTTCAAGAGAGGTTATGCACATGTCCAGTTCTCGAAACAACTCTCAACCTGAGTGTTTGAATAGTCGATGCCATGTCTGATGAATACGAGTATAGAGGTAGTGCTGTTCTTAGTCAAAAATTCACAAACTAGCAGCATTGAAGTATGAGCCGGTTCATTATCATATTGTAAAAGCCATGAACTGATTTTTCACAAATTCAGGGACTTTTCGATTTGCTTTATGCAAAAGGCGTTGGCTTTGTACTCTTTATTGACAGGTTGACCTGGTGACGGGAATTCACAGTTCACCATGCCATTAAAATCGAAGAACGAATTCTGACTTTCGTTGACTTTCTTTTAACAAACCTTAGGGCTGTTCCAGACAAAGTCAACAATGAAAATATCTATAAGTTTTAATATACTTCAGAGGCATGCATAAATGTATGTATGTGAATTATAGGCATATCTCAGTATTCAAATATCAGGTTTTCATAAATTTCATGGTTTATTAACATAAATATTATTCAAACAATAAAATATTTATTTAAAAAAAACTATTTATTTTGGCTTACAAATGTTTTTGAATTTTTCTGGAATAACTTTCATTAATGCAATCACGGTACTTTCTGCGATATTTCTACTCGCTGTATACCACTTACGTTGAAAGTCTTTTATGTCCTTTCAAGTTCCTTTCGTTGACTTCTATTACTTTTTGATCAGTGCTGGAATTCTTTCGATTGGCGAAGTTCAGAACCGTTAAGTGGATTTAATTCTTTTGGAACGAACGTTACATAATTTTCCCGGTACCATTTAAAAGCCGCCTTGCTGTAGTAGTATGATGCAAGATCATGCCAAAGGAAAGGAGAAGCTTTGCAAGCATTCTTTTACGTAAATGTCACTATTAATTGTACCAGTAGTGGGGTAATTTTTGATTCTTTTACCTCTTACATCAGCAGCATAAAATGCTTGACTGCGAAACTGAGAAAAGTCGGACAGGACGTAGGTTTTGCTATTTATTTTGCAACAACTAATTTGCTTATAAAGTCTCTTCTCAATTTCTGAGTGCATACATTTGCTTCGCAGTACTTCTCATCGTTTCGATGCGGTACTTTCTGCATCTTATATGTCTTCAGTCTTGTTTCTGCTCTCATTCTTCGCACAAATGACTAGGTACAATGCACCGACTGAGCTGTTTTTCGTTCCAAAAAGTAAGAATTTCTCTTAAGCATTGCCACCACCTTCTCAGCTTTGCTTTGGTCACCGCTGCATTCAACTTTTTTATTACCCCGGAAACAGTGTTTCGGCTAACTTAAGTATCCTTTGCGAATCGCTTAAAGCTACATTGCAATTTATTCAAAAAAATTTATGAGCTCAAGCACGCTCAGCTCACTGTTCATAACTGTACAAATTCCAATACAAATGCAATACAATTTGACATATTTTTCAAAGCCAAATTGCTGAAAAAATTTTGAATTGAAAGAAACAGTAATTCAAAATATAGACTAATTTCTAACGACGCACTCCTTAATAATAAGTTGGCAGTCAGACTATTCAAAAATATTTCATAAAAATCTAATCTTCGCTGAGTGCTGTAGAAGTAGGTTTAACAAAGAATCTTTACAAAATTTAGTATAAAACTCTGTTCGCAAAATACCTTTTACAACTTTACATTTCAGTGGGACCCCCCATTTAGGTTCCAAATGTCGGGAATACTTTCATCTCACCAAGTTATGCACTGATGCGTGCACCTTATCATGTTGGAAAATAGCTCTACGATAAACCATCAACCATCAACTGCCAAGATTTGTACATACGACTTTTGAAACGCGTTTTTTGGTATGATCAATAGCTCCTGTTTCGATTTTTCTTCGTTAGGTTGGGCATGATAGCACCTTTGTTTTTGGCCAAGCACAAGCACGATATGGGGCGTTGTTTTTGCTCAAAATTTATCAATTTCGAAACAAACTTCGCTGTCACACGATTCATGCCTAAAACATCCGTAAAAATTGCTTTACCTGAGCCGAACGATATGCCAACATCATCTGAAACCTCTCTGATAGTGATCCGACGATTATCCAAAGTCATTTTCTTCACTGCTTCAATGTTGTCATCGGTTGTTGACGTGCTCGGGCGACCAGGACGAGTATTGTCATTGACAGCTTCTCGGCCTTCCTTAAGTCGGTTATACCACAATTGAACTGGTGGTCTGCTCATAGTAGACTCGCCAAACGCCACAGTTAACATTTCAAATGTCCTTGCACATTTAATTTCATTTTTTACACATTTTATAGTATGTATGTAAATATATTTAAACAGGACAAAAAATACAAAAAAAAAAATAATTGGAAACAAAAAAAATCTTTCCGGATAGCCGAAGTCAGCCGATAAGACAAATATGTAATTCGTACCTTTTATCAAAAAGAAAATGAAGGACGAAAGATGGAGTTTATCTCTCCTTAAATTCTACGTAAACGATTGAGGGTTTTCAGAGCTTTATTTTCAATGCCGAAAATGTCCCCTTGACGTTTTACCGCTCCAAGCCCACCTCACGTAAAGCAGCTAACGAAATGCGGCTATTGTTTTCAGGGAGGCGTGATCATTCTCAGCAAAACCTCTGATCTCTACCTTAGACATTCCAAGATGATAGTGCAGATTTTTTTTTCAACTTTCTGGATAAGTCCTGAAGAATACACAAATATCTAGTCACTTAAAGTCTCGCTCAGACAACGTATTCTAGAGCCGTTGAAAACACAATAGTTTTGTGCAATGCTGTCCAAACTTTTTTTGGAGTGGCCACAGAAGTGGTCAAAAGGCCTATTCAATGGGCACTTTTTCCAAAACCTAAGAAAAACAGTGAAAACAAGTCGAGATTCCGTTTTTGCAATTATTTTCGATTGGTAATGCGACGTATAATAAATTTCTATTTTCTATGAGTTAATATTAATCGAAACAATGATTGTTTATTTAAAATTAATGTGACGGATGATATTCGTTTTTTCTGTCAATTTATCAAAGTCTGGCTTCGATTGGATTAGTTCGCAACGAAGTTCGGATTCCAAATTTTGTTTTGTTGCGCGAGGCTTGAGAATGATGCTTCACAAACGTACTATGTGGAAGCAAACATGCATAACAACTTTGGTACAATGTCTTTGAGAAGAAGAAATTATATTCAGATAAAAAACGCCTCAACAAAGCATCGTCTGTTTCATTTTGCAAGGCCACTTGCTTCATTTATCAACGAAAAATCGTTCGTTCGTCGATTCGTTTTCCTTGTTCCAAAAAGATCTGACAGTTTTTGAATATTATTTGAGTCACAAACGAATGGGTTTTTGAGAAATTTGAATACCAACTGAAACTTTTGGAAATCTTCAAATCGTGAATCGAACGCGTTAATCAAAGTATCAATGTATTGAATGAAAATGTTCGTATCGTAACCAAGCTCAAGTATATTGATTTGTGTCTAACACTGGGAAGTAAGTAAAATCATTTTCGTTTAATTTGGTTTTTAAATGCGGCCAATTTCAACTTGATTTTGTCAAGATGAAATCGCTTCGGTTAACATTTCAAATCGTTTTTTGAAAAAAATTAGAATCATTATTTGAAATAGCCAAGTGGCTACTAGTTTGGACAGCACTGGTTTTGTGCATGTATTTTTTTTCTAACTTCTATGGAATGCTTCTTTTTTACGAACGTCATTCGAATGCGTTTTAGTTGAAACAGAAAAAGTAATAAAAAACACCTTGTTTTCAACAACAACAACACTTTTAATAATATGAATGGTAAAACCCCTTCAAAAAACGCTTAACAAGTATGGAGTCAACAGTCGAGTGTCGCTAGCAGCACCGAACCCTCATCCCCAGCCATTTCGGATACTTATTCACATGAAACACCCAGTGGGGAAATGTCCATTAGTATAACTAGCGCCGAGGGGTCAGTATACCATTAAATATCTAAAAAATAAACAGTAATGTATATACATATCTACATACATATGCGTTTATATATCTAAATTATAAATGTGAATTAATTTTTTCTTCTCATCTCAATTCTTTTTTAATTTTATTTCTTATATTTTTTATTATATTTTTTTTTTTATTTATTTTTTTTATTTAAATGATGCATTTGCTTGTAATGTAAACAAAAATTTCGCACACTGCAAAAAATATTGAAAAATGTACATGTATTTGTGAAATAAAATACAATTTAAAACAAAACGAAACAAAAGTAGTGTTAACATACTGCCCGTAGCTGAGGAACTTGCCAAATTCTTTCCGCAATTGGATGACGAGGATTTGAATGCGGTTTCGGTGTATACCCCGATGAATACCGATGCTTTAGATGTTGATCCCGATGGCGTATTCATCTTCGGCGGTGGCAGTAGTCGTGGTGATGCGAGCGCATGCCTTACACCGGTTAGCTTTGGTATGGACATCAGCATGATTGCGAATAAGGGATCGATGACACTATCAGTCGATGTAAGTATGAAACAGTCATTACCGTTGTTATTGCTAACTTTTTTAGATACTAGAAACCAGAGGTTACTTTACTCTATTTTGTCGCAATGTACTATTTAAATATTCTTTTTTTAAAAATTCCTCCAACTCGACTGATGCTAGCCTTTTGCAACCCTTAGAGCTGTCTATGACTTTTACCCACAGAAGCGTGACTTTCGCCGCGTTCCATGCTATCTTACTTAGACCTGTTCTTCTATTTTCCGCTAGCTTTTTTCTTAAATTATACAATGATGAAAAACATCTCGCGCTCCATTTGCTCTTTCCAACGTGGACGTTTCCATCTTGCTTCTACCGGCGGATACCTTTGTGGTTGAAATGCTATCACCCATTCAGACGATTTTGTGGTATTCACCATTGCCAATATGCAAGAGACCATAAATCTTCCACAAAACCAAAGATGGAGAATTAGAGCCTTTCGAGCCACATTTTTGATGAGTGTCGAAACCGTTAAAGAAGACTTTCAAAGTTCTGGCTGCGCTTCTGACATGGTCCAGTTTACACAGACGTACAAGCTTTGCAAGGATACCAATTTCGGACAAGGTTGCGTAGAGGAAGCTCCTTTGGGGCTTTTTTAGGATCGCTGGAAAAGTGGTGCGGGCCGATTTTTTTTTCACAGGTATTTTGCAGAATTTTACGAGTATCTGCGCGCACACCACCGCCAACAAACTTGTGAAGAATAAATTTGTTTAGCAGCTTTTAGGAACAGCCCATTGGTCTTTTTTGATAACTGTAAGCCCTTGTCGTAATCCCGATGGGTCAACGCTGTTGCAACATCTAAAATTTGTATATGGAGATTATACGATTCGCATATCTTAGTCAAATTGTAAATAACGTTTATCCAATAGATTTCATATTCCTATCCATTCATTCCATGTTCCAGCTTGGCAAATTTTACCAGCTTATTACTGCAGCTATCCTTCCGTTTCTTACAGTCTTAAGTATTTTTGAAGAGAAGAAGGAGAGCATACTTCGTTATTCATTCAAACAAACTCATCCTACCTCGCAGTATGCCTTCTGTTCTTTTAGGAGAAGTCCCCAATAGAATTTCCATTTTGAGAGCAAAGCGCCTGAATTACTAAAACATGGTGATAGTTTAACTGGAATACCGATGTGGTTTAATTCCAACTCAAATATATACTTAAACAAAGGTGTTGTAAAAATGGATATTTAATTTCCAATTCGGTTCGGTTAGGCAAGAGTTGAACACCTTGCTATCGGCTACACACTTATATGAAAAAGTTTAGAGTTGTTTCCTTTTATTAGCGCAACACGGGGTTCCGTTTGCCTTAACACGATGCTTTGAGGTCCTCGTTGCCTAAGAGACCACACTGTACTGACGTTCAACTCGGTCAAATTTTCCACCTCCAATTTCCGGAGAGTAATAATATTCCAAACTTAACTGTAATATTTGGCTTTTTGGAAAGGTCTATTTTGAATATTGATCACTGAAAGAAAACGCAACTCAAAACAACCTTTGACGCCCCATTACACACATAAAGACATTTACTCTGCTTCAGTAAAATCCAATAAGTTCAAATCTGTTTTTATAATTCCAGGGCTTCGAAGATGAGGATGAGACTACACTCTCAGCCGCCACAACCCCATCGCTACCTGTAGATGAGCCAAAACTAGAGACCTGTTATTGTTGTCCTACACATGCGGAAATGGCCGAGCCACCAGAAGTAGATGTCGATGACACATTCGACTTAGCATTACCCGAACCACTTAAGATACCTGAAACTAAAATTATAAGTTCCTCACCAGAAACAAACACTTTCGGCGAACCCACATCATTACCGCCATTACCACTTTGTGTCGGCGGCGACACGGCCGGTATGCAACGACGTGGTGCACGCAAAGCAAACGACCCAATATCGCCGAAAATTAAAAAACAAATAAGTCTCTTCGAAGGTGGTGAATATGAACGGCAAAAAGAATACAACAATCTTCATGCATCCATCAACATACCGTCTGCTTCCACGCTAAAACAGGATGCACGTTTGCGCAAATTCGAGACACTCACACAGTCTACGTCGAATTCAAATTTCCCCTTCGCCAGTAACACTTTGAAGCGCGTACAGCATAACACTTCCGAATTGGATGATGTCAGTCATACACAATCTTGTATTAATTTAAAGAGCTCGTTATGTGGCGGTTCGCCGGCTCAATCAGCTTCCGGTTCGCCGCAACATAAAGCTGGGACAATTGCAATTGTTACGCAACCCGGTGTGGCTGCAAATACAACTACTGCAGCAGCAGCTCCCAATGCCGCCGGTACGGACACATTTGCTATTGCTGGTGCTGGTGGCTGTGGTCCGCCTCGTCCTGGTGCTTTGATTGTTAAAGAACGTTTTATTGAACCACCCAAACGCATTCCGCGCAATTTTCACAGTAAAACTCAGTCGATGGACGCTGACTTTTTATTTAACGAATTTCTTCTGGTGCCCGCGCGTTCGCCTACACATATACCTATTTCACCAGATGGCGGCAGTCATGCGAGTAGCGCCAACACGTCACCTTTATCGCGATCCAACTCACGATTTATGGCAACCAAAATAGTGGATGACATGGCAACACTGCAGCGAAAGTGAATAAAAAATCAGTCCATTGAAAAATTAATAATAATGTTATTCCAATTAAATAATATAAGCTGTTAATAGAAGTGACCTGAAATAGTCGTGGGGAAAACTTGAAACTTTGAAGATGTCTAGCTAAAGAATTTAAGAAATTGTTTAACTACATAAATACTTAAGAAATCAATATTCCAAATTAATTGTTATTTTTCCTATGATCAGGGGAAATCCGAGTCCTTATGTGCTACATAACCTAGATTTGTGCTAATAAAGTCTAAACCAAAGTTTAACTCTGTAAACATTATAAAAACCAGATTTTTATTAAAAAAAATATAGAATAGTAAGTTTAACATAAGGTTTCCTTGCAAATTGCAAAAGATTTAAAAGGAAAAATTTAAAAAGGGAATATTTGTTTTATTCTTTATAAGTTGATTTCATTTTCTTATATTGGATTTTTAAAATTAACATTATTTTGTTTAATTTGAGTTTAGTTAATTTTATTTGATTCTCATTTATTTTGTTCTAAGACCCGGTATTATGCAATTAATAAATACAGAAACCGTTATAATTCATCAGTTTGTCAAATTCGGTACAAAAATTCACCTGAGCAAAAAACCTAAAATTTTGAAAATGGACGTGCATCGGTAGCCCAACTCAAATTTCTCCCTCAAAACAATATATTTTTTAACCATTCACGCGATACCATTGGCAAGTGGTTGAAGCCAAGCCTGAATTTATATAGCATCGTTCTCCTTAGGTACTTCCAACGGAGTGGAGGTCTTCCTCTTCTCCTACATCCACCAACGCCAATATATTCGACGTTAGCGATGCCCAAAGGACCATAAATCTGCCGCCAAACCTTCCACTCGGATGTTGCCCATGCTTCTGCACCATAACGTAGGGCGGGAATGATGAACGAATTATAGAGTGTGGTTTGTGGAGGGCGTTATTTTAAATAGCTCACTCAATGCTAAGTAGCGCCTTTTGGCAAGAGTGATACTGCGTTTCTGATTTTTGGTATTTATGCTGGTTCCTAAATAGAGTTCCGGCAATTGTACGCTCTTATATTATTTCACTAGCTCTTATTTACGGTTTATTGTCAGCTGCCTCCGAACGGCTGATGGTTTTTTATGAAAAGCTTTTATTTCATGTCAAAATACCATCGAAGAGCTTGACATTTTTTGTCGAAAGGCGATCGCAATTAAAAAAAAAATTAATTAAATTATTTATTTAAATTAAATTTCTATAATTTTCAGATGTTAGTCCGACCAAGACTTCCATCCGAAATGCGGTACGTAATACTAACCACTCTTTGTATTTGTTGCTGCGATTTTTCGGCTACAGCAAGATAGTTCTTAGAATAGCTGTTAGGACTATTGAAACTTTTCACATTTAAGTCACTGGAGAAGGGTCAACCGTCTATCACAACATGATTGTTTGCTTTCGAGTTTTTAGATCCGATGACTACCATGTAGAATGTGTCCTTATGGATACTGAATTTTTCTACTTTTATGCACAGGGCTATCACTGATTCGGGCGGAGCTGCCGACGTGGCAATTTCGGGAAAATGATCTCTCTACTCAGACGTGATCACGAAATTTCGTAGTTCGTAAGATTGGCATCACAAAATTCGAGTGAAACACAATTTTGAAAATATCATGCAAACGCTGTGATTATCGGGAGAAATAAAGCTATAGCAAAATTTTTAAAGTTTAAAAAGTTGTTTTCAAAGTTTTTTGAAGTTTGTGCACTCTCACGACAGCCCAATTACGTGTTTCGCTGTCTCATGTGTAATACAATTACTACCAAATCGTTGCCTTTTCTAATTCTTAAAGAAAATTTATCGAAATCAGCTGACCAATGAAGACAAAATAGATGAAAATCAAAAAGAACATAGAACTGTCAAAAGCGGGTCCTGTGAACAAAGTACGACTTCATTAACATGATATTTACACGAAAGTCCGGCTTTGTTAACTAATTTAATTCGATTGGATCCAATAAATAGGTAACTCGGCCCGAAATTATATCTTACCAGTGGATATTACACAAGATTTTTGCACATTCAAGCAAAATCAGGTCCTCTTTAAGTGGTTAGCACACTAGCTGAATCGGTTCAAATTCACTAGAGACATACAACTGCACATTATCAGCATGGACATGTGTACTAAAAGCGTCGTTTATGAAAATACTAAATAATAGTGGGTCTAATGCATATCCCAGAAGCACCAGAGTACATATGCAAGATGTCAGAACTATTATTACCGACCGAAATCTGTCTCTTAATGTAGATTCGCCAGAGCTGAAATACTTAGCTAGTTTCTTACACAGTATATTGGGATCAACGGAATAATTAAGGAAACAAAGTAGTATTAAAAGGCCTTGACCGAAAAGCTAGCGTATATCTTCTAAGACTTTTGCAACAGTAGTGGAACAAGAAACTAATATGTAGAGAGTTAAAAAGTTTATTTCTATCGATAAAATCAGATTTTTGGCGTGTTATACGCATCTCAAACTCCTTAGAAAGCCCAGGGTATATACTCATAGGTCTGAATTTACAAACCTATGAATCGCCTGGTTTTTTGGTTTTTGGTGTGACATTTAGATCGTGAAGCAAGATTAATCTGGCTAACTTAATCGGAAGCTCGTCATTCCTTACAGCACTAAAATTAATATTGTAAACACATTTTGTCACTTCCTCCTCATAAAAGGGACCAAACTAAAAACTCTCAATTGAAATAACTTAGTGAAACGAAGTAGTCTTTTTTGTAGATCTATAGTTATCCGACGAATCACTTAAAGCAAAGAAATTATTTAGGTTTTGGAGACAAAGATACGTTGAGCCTTAAACAGAAAAAGTTCTTATTAGCTAGTCGTACAGAAAAAGTAGCCGAATTCATATTCAAATATTTTAATGTTGTGGTGGGCTCAGCGATCGTTTGATCGTAGAAAGCAGTAGTATGCATACCTTACAACAAAAAATTATTATTAGAACCATTCGAATGTTATTCTAAATCTGAATATTTGGTGTGATGTTGCACAAACACCTTTTAAGCCATATTGCTCATTTACAGGAATAGTGTCATAACTCAAAAAAGTCGATTTTTAAGGAAAGCGGCTTAAAGTTTTAAATTGCCTCTTAATTTAGTGTAATTTAGTGGCATGTTATATATTATATGAAATGCTGAACGCAAATTTCTTGGGCATAAAAGTCTTCCACTTTGAATAATGACGTTATTTGTAAAAATATTAACCAATTTCGCTGTCATATATAAATGTTATTAATTAAATACAAATTATTATTAAGCTCTTAATAAAGCCGCGGAAAAAGGTCCGTTTTGGAATCCCATGCTAAGTGGTAGGCTTTGCTTAAGTCAATTATTTGCTTATTTTTGGATTGGATTATATTTGCTTCCATGAATTGTTTCTCAGCGTAAGTTGATTTAAAAAAAGCAGAGCTAGATGACTCCCGTGGAACTTTTAGAATTTTCACTTCAGACAGTTTGGTTTTATCCATAGTGAAAGGACCCATATCATTAAGTAATATCCCTGCATAAAGGCTTCCGATCATTTTAGCCAACATTTGTCAGGAATGCATGATGTCGTATGCCGTCAGCTCGTAGAACGAATTTCATGTCACTTTCTTGAGGCCGAAACGACAAATGAGATTTTTACATTTGTATACGTTTACGTCATTCTCTCTTCGTTTCCTTGTGAATTTTCGTCATTCACACACAGCTCTCTTCACAGCTGAGCAACAACATTGATACCAAAAGAAAATAATATTGACGTAAAAAAACAGCAGCAGAGCGGTACAAGACGAACACAAAGGCTGCAACAAGGAACGTATATTAATGAGAAGGGAAAAGAACTGTGAATTGTTTACTGAAGTGGCTCAGGTTTCACAGACGGATTGAGTCCGCTTTGGACCTTCTTTCGCAAATTAAATTCATTATTAATATACGTTCTTTGGTTTAAAGAGGATATTTAACCAAACAAGAAGAAGAATCACATTTAGAGGCCAAATTTAACTAGATTGATCATGTGTAGAAGTTCACGCAAGTGAGGAAAGTTTTTGACTGCCATTCACTTGGGAGGGTCCAGAAACAATTCTTTTGCATATGGTTGAAGCAGCCATTGGGGGAGAGAAAAGTGAGAAGGCGAATCCTATGCGTTTGTACGTTGGGTTTGGGATCCACCACATGAAAAAAAACATCACATGGAATATTTAAATCAGCCTCGGATGAGAGACCACCTTTTGACGACGGCCGCAAATGTTCTAAGGATCTCTATTTGAGGGCATACACTTGGAATGTCCGGTACCTTAATTGAGAAGGTGCCGCTGCCCAGCTGGTTGATTTCCTCGCTAAACTAAATGCGATGGATAAGACAAGGACGGAAAAAGGTGGGTCCTTGTAAAATTTACTACGGCGGTCATATAAAGGAACGGCGTCGAAGATGTAAAGGCATTCACTCCGGTGGATGATCGTTTTGTCACAATCCGCATCAAAATTAAATTCTTTAATACCACGCTAATATGCGCCCACGCCCGGACAGAAGAGAAGGATGACTTGACCAAAGAAGCCTTTTACGAGCGCCTCGAGCACCCTTATGAGCGCTGCTTCCGCCACGACGTCGAAATTGAGCTTGCCGACTTCAACGCTAAGGTAGGCAAGAGAGGAATATGGTTGTATGTAGTACTATATTACTGCACAGGAAAATTCACCAAGCTCCTTAGCTGTCTACAGATCGAAAAACTTTCTACCAGATCGCAAAAACAGCTGGTACGATGAGGACTGCCGTATCGCGGTGGAAAAAAAACAGACTGCCTGCCTCGCAACCTTGCGATCGACCGAGATGCGTGAGTACGTGGAGCTTGAGAAGCTGGCCGACATGGATAATGCTCGAAAATTCTACATTAAGTTACGACGACTTCCAAAAAGATTCAAGACCCAGGGTATACTAAATTTATGGAGGGAACACTTCTCCAGACTACTTAATGGCAATGAAAATGATACACATGGAGATTATGGATCCGAAACTCCAAACGATGACAATGGAAAAGTTTTTCCGTTACCCTAGGAAGAAGTCCAAAAAGTAATCACCCGCTGAAAAAGTTGGGGCAGCTATTCAAATACGGCGATGAAGAATTGATCAGGTACACGTATCTGCTTTTTTGTAAGATATGGTCGAATGAAAACATGACCGACGATTGGAACCTAAGTGTACTCTGCTACACAAAGAAGCTATCCCACAGTCTGCTCCTATTACTGAGAAATAAGCCTACTTAACATTGCATATAAGGTC